TTCCAAAATAATATACCAACAGCTTATTTTGTGTGAGTAAATAAACTATTTTTTAAAATTTTATAAAAATTGGCTCAATGAGTTTGAATAAAATTAAATTTCTCGTTTTTCTCCTTTTTGGTACTTTTTTCCCCAGTGAAATAGCAAAAATTTTATTACAATAAATATTACAGAGTTAGTCCGTAATTTAATAGGAATAATTCAATAAACCGAAAAAGTTTTCTTAATGTGCAAAAAAAAAGTACCATAAATACAGTTTTCTCCCTTTTACACCCAAAAAGGACTGAATATTAAAAAAGTACGAAACAGGTGTCTCATAATTTTGGGAGATGTATCCAAAATATTTATAAAAATTTTATTATGTTAATTAGTTCAAAAGTTATAAAGAGCCAAAAAAGGTACCAAAATCACAATTGTTACACATTTTTACCCCTTAAAAGTACGAATTTCAAAAAAGTACCAGACACCCATCTGCTCATTTTAAGAGTAGATATAGGTGCATTTAAAATTTTTCTAGTATCGCTAATATTGTGTAAGATAATTAAGAAAACCTGTTTTACCCGTTTTCCCCTTTTTACCCGTAAATGTACAATTTTCCAAAAATCCCTCCTTAGTGGATCTACATAACCAAAAACACATCTACTGTCAAAATTTCATGGTTCTAGGTTCAGCCGTGCGATGATGAATCAGTCAGTCAGTAACGCTACTCTTTCATATATATATAGATTTTTATTTTTCTCGTTTCTGTTTATTGTCACATTTTCTAACAATAGAAGGCTTTAAGGACACTTTTAATGTACTTACTTGTGTATAAGTGAAAAGTATTTCGTTTCCTTTTTTTTTTTTGGTTTTTACTGTTTTGTCCTTCTTACCATTCTTTTATTCTCATTGCATTAAATATAATTTCACTTAAAATACAATAAAAGAAAAAGATTTTCTTGTAATTGCAGTTTGTTTAATATTCATTCTGCTTGGGTTTTTCTTGTTAAATAAAATAGAGAAGATTTGAACAACTTTAATTACAAAATATAAAAAAAAATTTATCCTTAATATTTAGTATAGGATGAGTTTTGTAATTTTAAAATGAAAGTGAGTATCACAACATACAATTTTAGGAAATGTTATCATTTTCTTGAATTATTCGCTTTTATCCTTAATTCAATCAGTATTTTGTTTTTATAAAAATTATAATGTCAAATTAGGCACCATTTTCTCAATTTCCCATTATCATTATTCAGAGTGATATTATTCCGAAAGGGCATTTGCGTCCGTCCGTCTGTCCGCCCGACTGGCTGTCCATATAAACATTGATTTTAAATGTCCATAATTGATTTATTAGTTTTATTATATAAACATTAATGCCTTCTCCGAATTTATAATGGTCGGCCCATATTAGACCCTATTGTACTGAGTACAAAACCCCCTTTCAAATACGCATCTATTGACAGGTATTCCTATATGAGATTCATAAAAAGACAGTTCTCCGAAACACTCTAATTCATGATTATAATATTTCTCCGATATAAATAAGTTTTAAATCAAAACTAATCACTCTAACCAAGTTTGCAAAAATTGATCCATAATGCCAACAAAAAATATACTGTTATTTAAATAGAATTGAATATAGCATTCATTGCAATATTGTTTTCATAATATTTGCTTTTATTTACATTTCTTTTATTCCAATTTTCTTTTCATTTGAATTTTTATTTTTTATTATTTCATTCTATCAGCCAGAAGTAGAGATGATTTTAAAAGTGTTTGTTTTTATCCTTAAGGCAGCAACAAGCATGACCCATTTTTACTCACCAGCATACAATACAAAAAGAAACTAAAACATAAAATAAAAACAACAATATAATGTGGCACGAATGTTTCTTGCCGTTGCATAATCACTCATACTTTCATTCATAAATCCATAATTTGTATGCATGCCGCTCTGCTGCTGGTCTACATTGGAAAACATAAGGAAACTGACACCATTGTACGTTATACATTAAAGTGTTTTTTTGCTCTGCTTTTGTGCTTTTTAAACTCTTAAGAGTGTGGGACAGGAGAAAAGAGCAGAGCTAGGCTCTTGCATCCTGTTTTTTGTGTTTTAGAAAAAAAAAAATCATAAATGATTTAAGCCAGTGGATAATGAATGAATATTAGAATTATAAAAAAATGTATTTAGTTGAAATTAATTGCAAGTATAGTGGGGCCAGTAGAAGTGTATATAAATTAAAAATTATGCGTTCAAAGGAGAAGATTATAAAATGTTAATAAAAGAGCTTAATGAAAATGAGGCAGGGATTTTTAGCTGTTAGCTGCTGAATGAATAAAATGTTGCAGAGGAATTTATTTAATGTGGTAGATTGAAATGTTTTATTTAAATTAATAGCTACTTATGCCCGGCGTTGCTTGGATTTTTAGTGATGTAAGGGTACAAAAAAAACAGGACTAAAGACTAGACTATAGCCTAGGCTATACCCTAGACTATAGACTAGACTATAGACAAGACTACAGACTAGGAACTAGACTATAGACCTGGTTATAGACTAGACTACAGGCTAGACTATAGACTAGACTATAGACCAGACTATAGACTAGATCATAGACTAGGCGATAAACTAGACTATAGACTAGACTATGGAGTAGACTATAGACTAGACTAGACTATAGACTAGACTATAGACCAGACTATACTATAGACTAGACTAGACTAGACTAGACTAGACTATAGACTAGACTAGACTATAGACTAGACTATAGACTAGACTATAGACTAGACTATAGACTAGACTATAGACTAGACTATAGACTAGACTATAGACTAGACTATAGACTAGACTATAGACTAGACTATAGACTAGACTATAGACTAGACTAGACTAGACTAGACTATAGATTATAGACTAGACTATAGACTAGACTATAGACTAGACTATAGACTAGACTATAGACTAGACTATAGACTAGACTATAGACTAGACTATAGACTAGACTATAGACTAGACTATAGACTAGACTATAGACTAGACTATAGACTAGACTATAGACTAGACTATAGACTAGACTATAGACTAGACTATAGACTAGACTATAGACTAGACTATAGACTAGACTATAGACTAGACTATAGACTAGACTATAGACTAGACTATAGACTAGACTATAGACTAGACTATAGACTAGACTATAGACTAGACTATAGACTAGACTAGACTAGACTATAGACTAGACTATAGACTGGATTATAGACTAGACTATAGACTAGACTATAGACTAGTCTATAGACTAGACTATAGACTAGACTAGACTATAGACTAGACTATAGAATAGACTATAGAATAGACTATAGATTAGACTATAGATTAGACTATAGAATAGACTATAGATTAGACTATAGAATAGACTATAGACTAGACTATAGACTAAACCATAGACTATAGACTGGAATATAGACCAGACTATAGATTAGACCACAGACTATACTAGATAAGACTAGACTAGTAGTGTAGTACATAGTATAGTCTATTGTATAGCCCACAGTCTAGTCTATAGTATAGTATACATAGTAGTGTTGTCTATAATCCTGTCTATGGTCTATTTTATAGTCTAGTCTAGTATATAGTCTAGTCTATAGTCTAGTCTATAGTCTAGTCTATAGTCTAGTCTATAGTCTAGTCTATAGTCTAGTCTATAGTCTAGTCTATAGTCTAGTCTATAGTCTAGTCTATAGTCTAGTTTATAGTCTAGTCTTTAGTCTAGTCTTTAGTCTAGTCTATAGTCTAGTCTATAGTCTAGTCTATAGTCTAGTCTATAGTCTAGTCTATAGTCTAGTCTATAGTCTAGTCTATAGTCTAGCCTATAGTCTAGTCTATAGTCTAGTCTATTGTCTAGTCTAGTCTAGTCTATAGTCTAGTCTATAGTCTAGTCTATAGTCTAGTCTATAGTCTAGTCTATAGTCTAGTCTATAGTCTAGTCTATAGTCTAGTCTATAGTCTAGTCTATAGTCTAGTCTATAGTCTAGTCTATAGTCTAGTCTATAGTCTAGTCTATAGTCTAGTCTATAGTCTAGTCTATAGTCTAGTCTATAGTCTAGTCTATAGTCTAGTCTATAGTCTAGTCTATAGTCTAGTCTATAGTCTAGTCTATAGTCTAGTCTATAGTCTAGTCTATAGTCTAGTCTATAGTCTAGTCTATAGTCTAGTCTATAGTCTAGTCTATAGTCTAGTCTATAGTCTAGTCTATAGTCTAGTCTATAGTCTAGTCTATAGTCTAGTCTATAGTCTAGTCTATAGTCTAGTCTATAGTCTAGTCTATAGTCTAGTCTATAGTCTAGTCTATAGTCTAGTCTATAGTCTAGTCTATAGTCTAGTCTATAGTCTAGTCTATAGTCTAGTCAACAGTCTAGTCTATAGTCTAGTCTATAGTATAGGGTATAGTCTAGTCTATAGTATAGGGTATAGTCTAGTCTATAGTATAGTTTATAGTCTAGTCTATAGTCTAGTCTATAGTTTAGTCTATTGTCTAGTCTATAGTCTAGTCTATAGTCTAGTCTATAGTCTAGTCTATAGTCTAGTCTATAGTCTAGGCTATAGTCTAGTCTATAGTCTAGTCTATAGTCTAGTCTATAGTCTAGTCTATAGTCTAGTCTATAGTCTAGTCTATAGTCTAGTCTATAGTCTAGTCTATAGTCTAGTCTATAGTCTAGTCTATAGTCTAGTCTATAGTCTAGTCTATAGTCTAGTCTATAGTCTAGTCTATAGTCTTGTCTATAGTCTAGTCTATTGTCTAGTCTAAAGTCTAGTCAGTAGTCTTGTCAATAGACAATAGACGTTACTAAACTATGAAATATATCATATATAAATTATAGACCCTCCTATTATATTGGTCTAGTCTACAAAAGGTACCGTAAGGGAGTGTATAAAGTCTCTGTTTTTATACTTTTACTTTTAACCGATGAAAACTTTTTTAATTAAATATTTATTCTTACTTTTTTCATTTCATTACAGATATCATCACCGTATCACAAATGTAGACGAAATAATATCTCAACTTTAAGGACTTGTATGATTTATACATACAACATAATAAACGATACGATTTATACCAACAACAAATACAACATTTAATATGTATGAAAAAAGAAATAAAATATAGAAAATTAAATTCACAATTAGTAAAATATTAAAGAACACACACACATACTACACAAAATATACCAACTCAGTGAACATATACCAAAAAAATAAAAGAAATCATGTATACACATAAGGACATACATATAAAACTACTACTTATGCAAACAAAATGACTACACTACCAAAAACAGTGATGTCAATAAACCTAAATATTCAGCTTTGTAATTTTGTTTGTAAAAAATTAACAGGACACGAGAAGGGGCGTGATCTCGTAGGCTATTTTTTTCTCAAAAACCAAACTCGTTATTTATAGAAGATCGTAGTACTTATCAAACTCCTTACTTTTAAGCGGGCCTAATAAGTACTTGCTGCAATGTCATTACTGTATTAAAGTTATGACTTAAATGTTTTCAATGTATGTTTTTGCTTGGTACATACATACATATCTTGAAAAACATTTTCAAGTTTCGGTTAAATTTTTCACTGAGTATTTAATTGACATCACTGTTGTAAACGTAATTTACTTTTTCATAGAAACATCTCAACAATACTTTATGAAATGAACTTATTTATTCATTTTATACGTACATACTATGTACATGTAATATTTTATTTACTCTGTAAATATGTATTTACTTTCATTTAGATTTAAATAAAATAAAAAACAAACCAAACAAACCACTAGTTAAATTTAGGTAAACTATAATAAAAACCAACAAAAAAATTAGAAATAATTCTAATATAAAAAAATTACCAAACTACATAAAATTCTAAAAAATTTATTCTAAATAAAATAAAACCAAATAAAAAACCCGTATATTATACACACATACTTTCCCACATTTACAAATATTACAAAAAAAATCATATAAATTTTTCAAAACATTTTATTTTTTAGTAAAAACGAAAATATGGAAAAAATACTTCTAAATTATTTAACAAATTTAGATAAAAACGACAAAAAAAAACTAGCACAATTTGCATAACATTAGTAAGGTAAAAATTTATAAAGAATATTTAAATGAAATTATGTATAAAATAGTGAAAAAATGCTTTTTATTATTAAAAATAAATAATAAAAAAATCCATATTAAATAAATTCCTAAAAAAATTCATTGAAACATGAAAAATAAAATTTATCTTTAACAAAATCATAAAGCAATTTAAAATTATTACTATTATTTTTTAAATTTCCTAAATTATAGAAAATTTAATGTAAATTTTTGTTGTTTTTGTTTTATTCACAATATCAAAATTGGTCACTTAATTTTGACTTGATTTGATACCCTTTAGAAGATAAATAATTTTTAATTTTGAACTTTTCGATTTTGTAAAGAAAATGGCTGTCATTTGACTATATATTAAAACATATCAAAAAAAATCATTTAATTCTGTTTGTCTTTCAAATGTCGTCTCTAAAGAAAACATATCCATCTCTAAGATATATTTTCTACTTCTGTTTCACATATTTTCTATAAGCAAATTTCTGTTTATCAGATATCTTTTCTAAGGAAAACATGTCTGTCAGATATATTTTCTATGGAAAACATGTCAGTACCACAGACATATTTCCTATGGAAAACGTGCCGACATATTTCCTACAGGAAACATATCTGTCTATCAGACACATTTTCTATAGAAGACATGCCGGTTTCTCTTACATATTTTCTATAAAAAACATGCCGACCTCTCAGACACATTTTCTATAGAAAACATGTCGTACTCGCAGACATATCTTCTATAGAAAACATGCCGGTCTCTCACTTATACTTTTTATAGAAAACATGCCGGCCTTTCAGTCACTTTTTTTATAAAAAACATTCCGGCCTCTCAGACATATTTTGTATAGAAAATACGTCTGTCTTTCAGTCTAGTTCATAGTCTAGTCTGTAGTCTAGTATATAGTCTAGTATAGTCTAGTATATAGTCTAGTCTATAGTCTAGTCTATAGTCTAGTCTATAGTTTAGTCTATAGTCTTGTCTATAGTCTAGTCTATAGTCTAGTCTATAGTCTAGTCTATAGTCTAGTCTATAGTCTAGTCTATAGTCTAGTCTATAGTCTAGTCTATAGTCTAGTCTATAGTCTAGTCTATAGTCTAGTCTATAGTCTAGTCTATAGTCTAGTCTATAGTCTAGTCTATAGTCTAGTCTATAGTCTAGTCTATAGTCTAGTCTATAGTCTAGTCTATAGTCTAGTCTATAGTCTAGTCTATAGTCTAGTCAATAGTCTAGTCTATAGTCTAGTCTATAGTCTAGTCTATAGTCTAGTCTATAGTTTAGTCTATAGTCTAGTCTATAGTCTAGTCTATAGTCTAGTCTATAGTCTAGTCTATAGTCTAGTCTATAGTCTAGTCTATAGTCTAGTCTATAGTCTAGTCTATAGTCTAGTCAATAGTCTAGTCTATAGTCTAGTCTATAGTCTAGTCTATAGTCTAGTCTATAGTCTAGTCTATAGTCTAGTCTATAGTCTAGTCTATAGTCTAGTCTATAGTCTAGTCTATAGTCTAGTCTATAGTCTAGTCTATAGTCTAGTCTATAGTCTAGTCTATAGTCTAGTCTATAGTCTAGTCTATAGTCTAGTCTATAGTCTAGTCTATAGTCTAGTCTATAGTCTAGTCTATAGTCTAGTCTATAGTCTAGTCTATAGTCTAGTCTATAGTCTAGTCTATAGTCTAGTCTATAGTCTAGTCTATAGTCTAGTCTATAGTCTAGTCTATAGTCTAGTCTATAGTCTAGTCTATAGTCTAGTCTATAGTCTAGTCTATAGTCTAGTCTATAGTCTAGTCTATAGTCTAGTCTATAGTCTAGTCTATAGTCTAGTCTATAGTCTAGTCTATAGTCTAGTCTATAGTCTAGTCTATAGTCTAGTCTATAGTCTAGTCTATAGTCTAGTCTATAGCCTAGTCTATAGTCTAGTCTATAGTATAGTCAATAGTCTAGTCTATAGTCTAGTCTATAGTCTAATCAATAGTCTAGTCTATAGTCTAGTCTATAGTCTAAACCTATAGTCTAGTCTATAGTCTAGTCTATAGTCTAGTCTATAGTCTAGTCTATAGTCTAGTCTATAGTCTAGTCTATAGTCTAGTCAATAGTCTAGTCTATAGTCTAGTCTATAGTCTAGTCTATAGTCTAGTCTATAGTCTAGTCTATAGTCTAGTCAATAGTCTAGTCTGTAATCTAGTGTAGTCTGTCTCTCAGATTATTTTCTATAGAAGACATGTTTGTCTCTCAAGCATATTTTCTGTAGGAATCATCAGTTATATTTTCTATAGAAACATGTCTTTCTCTCAGACATACTTGCTAAAGATTTCAACAGTATGAATATTTTTCATCAAAGGGTATCCAAACATGTATAATGTGAAGTTTATAAAAAAAACAACAAAAAATTTAATAAAATACGACATTGCCTTGTTGATATCATAATTGTAATAAGTCATAAAATATTTATAAAAAAACAACTGTATTTGAAAAATTTATTTAACAGATAAAAAAGTTATTTTATAAAAATAAAAAAAAAAATAAATAATTATAACGAAATAAAATAATTTTGACGAAAAAACATTTAAAATTATAATTGACGACCAAGCAACTTTAATACTATAACTACATATAAACAACTACATACATACAAACAAAATTATTTCACACACAAACATTTACGTACCAATACATATAACCCGCATACAATAAAATACAGAAAATCTGCCTTTACACAAACAATTTATTTTAATTATATGTATGTATTTGTTTAAAACTAAAATTTTTCAAAATAGTACATCTTTAAATGCATATTAATTATTTATTTAAAATTCAACGAGGTTAGATTGAGAAATTTGTATAGACTACTTTTTTCAGTAGTAAAAGAAAAAAGCGTCATACAATTTTATTTGAATTTATTTCATATCATTTCACCAACACAAAGAAAAACTTTTTTTTAAATAATAATTATTTTTTAAACTTCATTGAACACATTTTGTTTCATAAAACATTATTAAAAATAAAACTTTTATTATAAATCAGGGGTTTAGTATTTAAATAAAGTCATATCATTCTTAAAATGATTTAAAATTTTTACAAAATTTCTATGTCCTTAGTCTATCCTCCTTAAATAAATTTTAGAGCTCTACATTTTTCCACTTTCTCTTTAACTTAACATTTTTATACAAATTCACTTTTTTCGAAAAAAAAAACACTCAAAAAAACTGTCATAAAAAGGTATTAATGTAAAAATAAAAAAAAAATACAAGAAAATACTAGTTTAAATATATAAATAAAAAAAGAAATTAAAAAAAGCTTGTTAGTGATATTAATTTTTAAAATTATATTTACAACAAATTAAACAAGAAAAAAAACCAGAAACGCTAAAGGTTAACTTTAAATAAATCAAGAATTAAAAAGAAATGACTTAATAAATTGAATGGAAATTAAAAAAAAAAAAAAACATATGATTGGACTCATTTATGGTTTTAGTTGTTTTTTTCTTTTATTATTTCAACAATTTGTACAAAATTGGGTTTTAATAAAGAATTATTTAAGGAGAAGGGTAAGTTGAATGACAAATGTTTTAAGACCAGGAATTTAATATCAATATAACGGATTCAGTTATTTTATTTATAGTCATAGGCTATTCATAGTCTATTCATAGTCTAGTCAAGTCCTAGTCATAGTCTAGTCCATAGTCTAGTCATAGTCTAGTCATCAGTCTAGTCCATAGTCTAGTCATAGTCTAGTCATAGTCTAGTCATAGTCTAGTCATAGTCTAGTCATAGTCTAGTCATAGTCTAGTCATAGTCTAGTCATAGTCTAGTCATAGTCTAGTCATAGTCATAGTCTAGTCATAGTCTAGTCATAGTCTAGTCATAGTCTAGTCATAGTCTAGTCATAGTCTAGTCATAGTCTAGTCATAGTCATAGTCTAGTCATAGTCTAGTCATAGTCTAGTCATAGTCTAGTCATAGTCTAGTCATAGTCTAGTCATAGTCTAGTCATAGTCTAGTCATAGTCTAGTCATAGTCTAGTCATAGTCTAGTCATAGTCTAGTCATAGTCTAGTCATAGTCTAGTCATAGTCTAGTCATAGTCTAGTCATAGTCTAGTCATAGTCTAGTCATAGTCTAGTCATAGTCATAGTCTAGTCATAGTCATAGTCTAGTCATAGTCTAGTCATAGTCTAGTCATAGTCTAGTCATAGTCTAGACATAGTCTAGACATAGTCTAGTCATAGTCTAGCATAGTCTAGTCATAGTCTAGTCATAGTCTAGTAATAGTCTAGTAATAGTCTAGTCATAGTCTAGTCATAGTCTAGTCATAGTCTAGTCATAGTCTAGTCATAGTCTAGTCATAGTCTAGTCATAGTCTAGTCATAGTCTAGTCATAGTCTAGTCATAGTCTAGTCATAGTCTAGTCATAGTCTAGTCATAGTCTAGTCATAGTCTAGTCATAGTCTAGTCATAGTCTAGTCATAGTCTAGTCATAGTCTAGTCATAGTCTAGTCATAGTCTAGTCATAGTCTAGTCATAGTCTAGTCATAGTCTAGTCATAGTCTAGTCATAGTCTAGTCATAGTCTAGTCATAGTCTAGTCATAGTCTAGTCATAGTCTAGTCATAGTCTAGTCATAGTCTAGTCATAGTCTAGTCATAGTCTAGTCATAGTCTAGTCATAGTCTAGTCATAGTCTAGTCATAGTCTAGTCATAGTCTAGTCATAGTCTAGTCATAGTCTAGTCATAGTCTAGTCATAGTCTAGTCATAGTCTAGTCATAGTCTAGTCATAGTCTAGTCATAGTCTAGTCATAGTCTAGTCATATTCTAGTCATAGTCTAGTCATAGTCTAGTC